TTTTTTTTTTTTTTTCTTTTTTTTTTTTTTTTCCTTCTTTCTGAACCTCTTTTTATCCCCTTTCTCCCCCTCACGATTTGGGATCTCTTCTAATTTGGCTAAAGCATATTTTCCTGGGGTTGTTGCCACCCTTTTAGTATTTTACTTGCTCCTTCATCTGCTCTTATCTGGACAAAATGACAAGGCGGAAAAATTCACCACAAAAAAAAGAACAAGAGGCAGTACCAAAGGCTAGGGACCTAATCAATACAGACATTGGTAATATGTCAGATCTAGAGTTCAGAATGACGATTCTCAAGGTTCTAGCCAGGCTTGAAAAAGGCATGGAAGATATTAGAGAAACGCTCTCGGGAGATATAAGAGCCCTTTCTGGAGGAATAAAAGAACTAAAATCTAACCAAGTTGAAATAAAAAAAGCTATTAATGAGGTGCAATCAAAAATGGAGGCTCTCACTGCTAGGATAAATGAGGCAGAAGAAAGAATTAGCAATATAGAAGACCAAATGACAGAGAATAAAGAAGCTGAGCAAAAGAGGGACAAACAGCTACTGGACCATGAGGGGAGAATTCGAGACATAAGTGACACCATAAGACGAAACAACATTAGAATAATTGGGATTCCAGAAGAAGAGGAAACAGAGAGGGGAGCAGAAGGTATATTGGAGAGAATTATTGGAGAGAATTTCCCCAATATGGCAAAGGGAACAAGCATCAAAATCCAGGAGGTTCAGAGAACCCCCCTCAAAATCAATAAGAATAGGTCCACACCCCGTCACCTAATAGTAAAATTTACAAGTCTTAGTGACAAAGAGAAGATCCTGAAAGCAGCCCGGGAAAAGAAGTCTGTAACATACAATGGTAAAAATATTAGATTGGTAGCAGACTTATCCACAGAGACCTGGCAGGCCAGAAAGAGCTGGCATGATATATTCAGAGTACTAAACGAGAAAAACATGCAGCCAAGAATACTATATCCAGCTAGGCTATCATTGAAAATAGGAGAGATTAAAAGCTTCCAGGACAAACAAAAACTGAAAGAATTTGCAAATACCAAACCAGCTCTACAGGAAATATTGAAAGGGGTCCTCTAAGCAAAGAGAGACCCTAAAAGTAGTAGATCAGAAAGGAACAGACACAATATACAATAACAGTCACCTTACAGGCAATACAATGGCACTAAATTCATATCTCTCAATACTTACCCTGAATGTTAATGGGCTAAATGCCCCAATCAAAAGACACAGGGTATCAGAATGGATAAAAAAACAAAACCCATCTATATGTTGCCTACAAGAAACTCATCTTCAACCTGAAGACACCTCCAGATTTAAAGTGAGGGGGTGGAAAAGAATTTACCATGCTAATGGACATCAGAAGAAAGCAGGAGTGGCAATCCTTATATCAGATCAATTAGATTTTAAGCCAAAGACTATAATAAGAGATGAGGAAGGACACTATATCATACTCAAAGGAACTGTCCAACAAGAAGATCTAACAATTTTAAATATCTATGCCCCTAACATGGGAGCAGCCAACTATATAAACCAACTAATAACAAAATCAAAGAAACACATCGACAATAATACAATAATCGTAGGGGACTTTAACACTCCCCTCACTGAAATGGACAGATCATCCAAGCAAAAGATCAACAAGGAAATCAAGGCCTTAAATGACACACTGGACCAGATGGACATCACAGATATATTCAGAACATTTCATCCCAAAGCAACAGAATACACATTCTTCTCTAGTGCACATGGAACATTCTCCAGAATAGATCATATTCTCGGTCCTAAATCAGGTCTCAACCGTTATCAAAAGATTGGAATCATTCCCTGCATATTTTCAGACCACAATGCTCTAAAGCTAGAACTCAATCACAAGAGGAAATTTGGAAAGAACCCAATTACATGGAGACTAAACAGCATCCTTCTAAAGAATGAATGGGTCAACCAGGAAATTAAAGAAGAGTTGAAAAATTCATGGAAACAAATGATAATGAAAACACAACGGTTCAAAATCTGTGGGACACAACAAAGGCAGTCCTGAGAGGAAAATATATAGCGGTACAAGCCTTTCTCAAGAAACAAGAAAGGTCTCAGGTACACAACCTAACCCTACACCTAAAAGAGCTAGAGAAAGAACAAGAAAGAAACCCTAAACCCAGCAGGAGAAGAGAAATCATAAAGATCAGAGCAGAAATCAATGAAATAGAAACCAAAAAAACAATAGAACAAATCAACGAAACTAGGAGCTGGTTCTTTGAAAGAATTAATAAGATCAATAAACCCCTGGCCAGACTTATCAAAAAGAAAAGAGAAAGGACCCAAATAAATAAAATCATGAATGAAAGAGGAGAGATCACAACGAACACCAAAGAAATACAGACAATTATAAGAACATACTATGAGCAACTCTACGCCAACAAATTTGACAATCTGGAAGAAATGGATGCATTCCTAGAGACATATAAACTACCACAACTGAACCAGGAAGAAATAGAAAGCCTGAACAGACCCATAACCAGTAAGGAGATTGAAACAGTCATCAAAAATCTCCAAACAAACAAAAGCCCAGGGCCAGATGGCTTCCCGGGGGAATTCTACCAAACATTTAAAGAAGAACTAATTCCTATTCTCCTGAAACTGTTCCAAAAAATAGAAATGGAAGGAAAACTTCCAAACTCATTTTATGAGGCCAGCATCACCTTGATCCCAAAACCAGACAAGGATCCCATCAAAAAAGAGAACTACAGACCAATATCCTTGATGAACACAGATGCAAAAATTCTCGCCAAAATACTAGCCAATAGGATTCAATAGTACATTAAAAGGATTATTCACCACAACCAAGTGGGATTTATTCCAGGGCTGCAAGGTTGGTTCAACATCCGCAAATCAATCAATGTGATACATTAATAAAAGAAAGAACAAAAACCATATGATACTCTCCATAGATGCTGAAAAAGCATTTGACAAAGTACAGCATCCCTTCCTGATCAAAACTCTTCAAAGTGTAGGGATAGAGGGCACATACCTCAATATTATCAAAGCCATCTATGAAAAACCCACCGCAAATATCATTCTCAATGGAGAAAAACTGAAAGCTTTTCCGCTAATGTCAGGAACACGGCAGGGATGTCCATTATCACCACTGCTATTCAACATAGTACTAGAAGTCCTAGCCTCAGCAATCAGACAACAAAAGGAAATTAAAGGCATCCAAATTGGCAAAGAAGAAGTCAAACTATCACTCTTCGCAGATGATATGATACTATATGTGGAAAACCCAAAAGACTCCACTCCAAAACTGCTAGAACTTGTACAGGAATTCAGTAAAGTGTCAGGATATAAAATCAATGCACAGAAATCAGTTGCATTTCTCTACACCAACAACAAGACAGAAGAAAGAGAAATTAAGGAGTCAATCCCATTTACAATTGCACCCAAAACTATAAGATACCTAGGAATAAATCTAACCAAAGAGACTAAGAATCTATACACAGAAAACTATAAAGTACTCATGAAAGAAATTGAGGAAGACACAAAGAAATGGAAAAATGTTCCATGCTCCTGGATTGGAAGAATAAATATTGTGAAAATGTCTATGCTACCTAAAGCAATCTACACATTTAATGCAATTCCTATCAAAGTACCATCCATTTTTTTCAAAGAAATGGAACAAATAATCCTAAAATTTATATGGAACCAGAAAAGACCTCGAATAGCCAAAGCAATATTGAAAAAGAAAGCCAAAGTTGGTGGCATCACAATTCCGGACTTCAAGCTCTATTACAAAGCTGTCATCATCAAGACAGCATGGTACTGGCACAAAAACAGACACATAGATCAATGGAACAGAATAGAGAGCCCAGAAATAGACCCTCAACTCTATGGTCAACTAATCTTCGACAAAGCAGGAAAGAATATCCAATGGAAAAAAGACAGCCTCTTCAACAAATGGTGTTGGGAAAATTGGACAGCCACATGCAGAAAAATGAAATTGGATCATTTCTTTACACCACACACGAAAATAGACTCAAAATGGATGAGGGACCTCAATGTGAGAAAGGAATCCATCAAAATCCTTGAGGAGAACACAGGCAGCAACCTCTTCGACCTCAGCCGCAGCAACATCTTCCTAGGAACATCGCCAAAGGCAAGGGAAGCAAGGGCAAAAATGAACTATTGGGATTTCATCAAGATCAAAAGCTTTTGCACAGCAAAGGAAACAGTTAACAAAACCAAAAGACAACTGACAGAATGGGAGAAGATATTTGCAAATGACATATCAGATAAAGGGCTAGTGTCCAAAATCTATAAAGAACTTAGCAAACTCAACACCCAAAGAACAAATAATCCAATCAAGAAATGGGCAGAGGACATGAACAGACATTTCTGCAAAGAAGACATCCACATGGCGAACAGACACATGAAAAAGTGCTCCACATCACTCGGCATCAGGGAAATACAAATCAAAACCACAATGAGATACCACCTCACACCAGTCAGAATGGCTAAAATTAACAAGTCAGGAAATGACAGATGCTGGCGAGGATGCGGAGAAAGGGGAACCCTCCTACACTGTTGGTGGGAATGCAAGCTGGTGCAACCACTCTGGAAAACAGCATGGAGGTTCCTCAAAATGTTGAAAATAGAACTACCCTATGACCCAGCAATTGCACTGCTGGGTATTTACCCTAAAGATACAAACGCAGTGATCCGAAGGGGCACGTGCACCCGAATGTTTATAGCAGCAATGTCTACAATAGCCAAACTATGGAAAGAACCTAGATGTCCATCAACAGATGAATGGATAAAGAAGATGTGGTATATATACACAATGGAATACTATGCAGCCATCAAAAGAAATGAAATCTTGCCATTTGTGATGACATGGATGGAACTAGAGGGTATCATGCTTAGCGAAATAAGTCAATCGGAGAAAGACAACTATCATATGATCTCCCTGATATGAGGGAGAGGAGATGCAACATGGGGGGTTAAGGGGGTAGGAGAAGAGTAAATGAAACAAGATGGGATTGGGAGGGAGACAAACCATAAGTGACTCTTAATCTCACAAAACAAACTGAGGGTTGATGGGGTGGGTGGGGGGGTGGGATTATGGACATTGGGGAGGGTATGTGCTATGGTGAGTGCTGTGAAGTGTGTAAACCTGGCGATTCACAGACCTGTACCCCTGGGGATAAAAAGATATTATATGTTCATGAAAAATAAAATTAAAAAAAAAATAATTACACGCGTCCGTCTCTTACCCGAAATCCTTGGGGTCAAGTGTGTTTTGGGATTTAGAATGATTTGGACAATGGAAACGTAATATAACACATATACCTTACGTTACATTATCGGTGACGCCCAGTAGGGTCTGGAGCAGCCCCTCATAATCCAACTTATGATTATTGGGATATTTATTTAGCGAAACATATGGATATTCCCTCTAAGTGATAGAAACACAAATTATCAACAGATCCATGTTGGTTCAGGTCAGTTTTTGGCAACAAATGAGTTTGAATCACCCCAAACCAATTAATGTTCAGGTTTGGAGCTGTTTGGATTTCATGATTGAGGATAAAGGATGGACCCAACTCACCACTACTAAATGCTTAATATGTATGACTTTGTGACGGAAGAATCATAAAACCCACATTCAAGTGCAAGCCTTTGTCTGTTGCAAACTTGACGCTAAGACTCACTACATAACATGCAGGGTTTGTATTAGTGTGAGCATTGTATGGAAGGGGAAAGTGAGGTTTAGAGAAATAAAATAACTTAATGACGTTAGCTGGTAAGTGGCAAAGCTGACACTTGGACCCAGGTCTCTCTGACTCTATATATTAACAGTGGTGACAGCAACTTATCCAAATAAAATATTGTTTCCCAGTCTTCTTAGCAGACAAAGAAGGTCAATGGGAGATATAAGCACAAGGGAGGGTGGGATTGCTTTTTAAAGCTCCTTTGTCTCTCTCTCCCTGCCCCATTTCCTCTTCTCTGCTGGGAGGGTGGCTGTGACCGAGTGCCACTGCGGTTATCATGAATCTATGAGCAGCATACATGCTTCTCTTTGTTATGAACCTTTCCTTTAACTCTTATATCCCCAGTTCTGAGATCAAGTGTAGTTGCCACTTATCATCATACATGTTCTATTTACTTTCTTTTTTTTTTTATAAGTTTTTATTTATTTATTTGACAAGAGAGAGAGATCACAAGTAGGCAGAGTGGCAGGCAGAGAGAGAGAGAGAGGAAAGCAGGCTCCCTGCTGAGCAGAGAGCCAATGCAGGGCTCCATCCCAGGACTCTGAGATCATGACCCGAGCCGAAGGCAGACACTTAACCAACTGAGCCACCCAGGCACCCCCCTATTTACTTTCTTATAGTAAGAAGGGAAATGAAATTTTTGTTGTACCTAAATCTTAGGAAATTATTTTTCTTATACCCAGCTGACTTAGACCATGTACGTTGGCTCTCTGGCTTCTGTTGGCATTTCAGTTTTCAATCTCTCCCTGACACCCTCTGTCTAGAAGACTGTGAGATGCCTTTAGAGATGTGAAAGTATAAAAAACATCATTAAACTTTGTTTCAGAAAATATTGAGTTCAAATCCTAGGCTCTATGGTTTACTTACTAACAATGTGACCGTATACAAGTCATTCGTTGTTCTCAAGCATCTGTTTCCTTACCTGCAATAAGGGATAACAGCTATCTACCTACCACAGATGATTGTTAGAAGGATGAGATGAGAAAACCCAGTAGGTGGTTCTAAAACAGTGCCTTTAAGAATGACTAAATGTTTGGCCATTTTCCTTTTGGGATGATCTCCATGGTGACAGATAACCTTTGTGCTTACCTGAATCTTGTCACACCAGCCAGCGAAGTATCTGAATGTTTGCACAGACATTCCGATGTGAGTCTTCAGAGCCAGGGTGTAGACAGCGCCCGAATCAAGGGCTTCAATGGTTGCCAACTCTTCTTGGTTCTCTTCCAGTAGGTCTGCAAGTCTGTATGGTCAGGGAAAGAAATTCATTCAACAAATACTGACTGAGCTCCTACTAGGTACTGGGCACCCTCCTAAGGGCTGAGAATTCAGAGGTGAACACACATGCACGAGGTCTCTGTCCTCATGGTGAATATGGTCCGGCAGGGAAGACAGGAAACAAATCATCTCATAAATAATTTGTTTCAAGAGTTACAAAAAAGAAGAAGTGTGGGAAGCCTCTACCATTTGCCCCATACACATATAAGAAGTAGAACAGTGACTGAGCCACAGTAAAGCAAGGAGATCGATGACAGAAAACAGTGGGAATGTGGCCAGTTCATGAATATATAGGGAGATGTTAGTGAGTAAAACCCATAAGAATCCATGAACACGAGGATTTCTTGTTGGTATGGGAATACACGGGGTGAATTAGAGACACCACAACAGATTTCTGTTAGGTGTCTAGATTCTGGGGCAAGATAAGTCAAGGATTGTCTCATGGCTCTGAAAGAGTGAAAATTCATCCTTTGTGCTCCCCTCAACCATTGGTTTTCTTTTCATCCTTCAGTGGTTCTCTGAGTTGTTCCTTTTGGACCATTCTAAAGTTGGGCTCGGAAGCCGCCTCCCCCTCAGTGTTTCTTCCAGATCCTACTAAGGTCAACGATTTGGCTCTGGGTAAGGAGAAAAGTGAGTTTATGCTCGCATCTAATCAATCTTGGCATACTCGGTTACTGATTTATAATACGCTTTTCAAGCCTTAGTATTTTTCCTTCTCACTCCTACTCCCTACAGATCAAGCAGATTTGAAATTTGTCTTTGAAAACAACAAAAGTGCTACATATTCCCTGTTTGCTGTTCTGTATCCACCCTCCACACCGCTCTGTGACCTGGGAGGATGACCTTTATAGATTCCATCCCCTGGATCCCATGCTCTGTCACTGGGCTTGACTAAGGAGAAGCCAGTGGGCAGTATCCTCAGGGAGAGAAAGAGATCAGGGATTCCATTCCTCAGCTCCCTCGCAGATAGGTTGTGGTTCAGCCGCTGCTGGGTCCCTCCATCAAAAACCACTGGAGTGTGGTCTTCCACAGCTACAGATCTTGCCAGGTTCCAGCAATAGCCCCTTTCTCTGTCCCAGACCTTAGGGTACGAATAGCTTCCCCCTGTTGCTGCCCCTAACTGGGTACTTCATTACCCCTCGAACTTGCCCACATCTTTTAAATGGTTCTTTACTGAACTTTTCTGCCTACTGGAACCCTGACTGTTACAAACAATAACACAAAAATCAGGAACTCACATATATGGAACTTTATATGATGTGTGTAACAGAAGGCATATAGTAGGTGCGTATGAGAATATTTGGGTGAAATTTTAAAAATCTTGGCAATGTTAGCCAATATCCAAAGATAGCAGATCTGTGTTTTTAAAAACCACACCTGTACATCAATCTTCCTCTTTCTCTTGCATTCATTCTTCCCCATTCACCTTTTTCAAAGGCATCTTTTGCAGCTGCTACAGCTTTATCGACATCCACCAAAGAAGCATAGGCTACTTTGCCTATTGTCTGTTTCAAGATAAAAATAAGGTAATAGGTCATTTATTTAGAGATATATAAATATGCCTCTTAAAACTAATATCATATTAATAGGAAAAATAGGGTGTTACTTATAAAATCCAAAGAATTAACGACAGAAAATCAATACACTCAGTAATATAGTAAAGACAAAATTTAACAAGGAAATTGTTAGCCTGAAATTTGGGACTCCTCATGTCACACTACACTGTGGAAAGGCACATTTAGGAAGACTATGTCTATTTCTTCTGGTGCTTAGGGAAGCTGAATTTCTTGCCACAAGCTTGTGGAGTCTGAAAACTCTTTTCTGCATGTAGTTTTATTGAGGGTGTGCCTCTGATGTGTCTAGGTATAGTTATCTGTCTAAATTCAGCATAAATAGTCATTCAATAAAATAGGTTATTATAGCTAGCAACCAGTACCAGAATTGAAGAGTTGAAAGAAATACACAGAGAGCATTTAGAGTAAGTGCTCAGAGAGGCAAAGTGATAGGATAAAGTAACTTCTTAAGACTGTCAATTTTACAACTGTGCATAAATTAAAAATTCATGACCAGTGGTCACTGCACACACTAAGGAATTACTCACAGATCCGTCTGTTGGGTTGATAGTATCATAGGTCTTTCCGTCCTCAGCATCTGTGAACTGTCCATTTATGAAACACTGATACGGCATTTTCACTGTCATTTCATTGACCTCCTTCGAAATCTAAGATAGAGAATTATATTTATAGATTCAATGGATTTCTCTGCTTATCCATTTGATGCCAAATAGCAATAAAGAAGTTTACTCACTAATGCAGCAGATGTTATGTCGATAGGATTTTAGTTCCTACTCTCCAGAAGACACAAGCATATGTAAGATTTGGGCCTCATGATGCTCAGATTGGCCACTGAGCCAGGAGGCTACCATCTCTGATGACCAAAGTGCCCGAGGTTCAGCCTTAAAAATACCGCAGATTTTCTTCCTTATGCAAATGAGAGAACTCGAAAGACCTCCAGATAATGGAAACATCACCATCTAGTGGCAACATCTATGGAGGCACAGCCATTGCTTTCATTTGAATCCTTGAAATTGCCTTTGTGGATTAAGTTTCCTTTTAGAATGGTGCCGTTTTAAGTTTTGTTTCCTTAAGTTCCTCTTCATTTTTCACTTTCTCTCTCTCTTACAAATGTGTTGCCTTAATTCTATTCTCGACCGTTCCCTAGCAAATGAATTTAGGTTAGTCCATTAACTACTATGAGCTTCAGTTTTTTCAACCGTGCGAAGGGAAGGGGTGCCTGGGTGTCTCAGTGGACTAAGGGACTGACTCTTGATTTTGGCTCAGGTCATGATCTCAGGACTGTGAGATCAGGTCTGGTGGGTACCCCACTTAGCAGGGAATCAGCTTGAGATTCTCTCCATCTTCCCCCAACCTGCACGTGTGCACTTTCTCTCTCTCTCTGTTCTCTCTCTAAAACAAATAAATAAAATCTTCAAAAAAAATTAAAAGGGGATAATGCTACCTACTACATACATTTATGAGGAATAACTGAAAAAACATGTAAAAGAGCATTATTAGAATAAAATTTCATAACAATGAGAGGTATAAACAGTAAATATAATGATTTTCAAACAATTTCATGTAGAGAAATTGGTAATACTTAAAGAAGAAATAAAAAATATCAAATGGTATCTACTCTTATCCCACAGGTAAGAAATATTTCTGTGAAAAATTTCCATTGTGTTTATGTAGGATATAATGAAGGAATCTTTATCTGACTTGATGTGTCTAGTCTCTGCATATAGTTCACTTCTGTAAAGTCATCATTCTGGAACTATGTTAAGGGTCTTACATGTATTGTCTTTTTTTTTTTAAGATTTTATTTATTTATTTGGCAGAGAGGGACAGAGAGAGCAAGCACAAGCGGGAGAGTGGCAGGCAGAGGGAGAGGGAGAAGAAGGTTTCCCATAGAGCAGGGAGCCCAACTTGATCCCAGGACGCTGGGATCAGGACCCGAGCTGAAGACAGATGCTTAACTGACTGAGCTACCCAGGTGCCCCTTACATATATTATCTAATTTGATTCTCCCAACTACTCTGTGAGGTAGATATTACTATTGTCATATCCAATATGAGGAAACCAAGGCTTAGAGAAGTGAAGTAACTTGCCACAGGTCACATGGCTGGTAAGCAATGCTGCGTGGATTCAATGTTAGGTGGGTCTGACACCAAATTCATGTTCTTAACCAGAGGATGCTTAACTGCTTCCCAAATTTACCTAAATTTTATTAAAAACACATGGGTGAATTATTTCTGGAATAGTAGACTATGGACCACTAAAAATCTGCTCCTTCATAAAAGCCACAAGAACATTAGAAACTATTGTCAAAATCATGTTTCTTAAGACTCTGGAAATTAACCAAAAGCTTGAAAGAATCCATTTATTCAAGAAAAACAGCTGAATCTCTGTAAGCTCAGTGAGTTCTATGGTGTATTAATTGCCCTACTCTTTCCTATCTCTCTCGACAGCTCCGCAGTAACTTGAAAACCAAAATCCTTACAACCACGGTGGCTATGAAAACCAGCCGTCTGTTAGTCACCAGAGGGGGACAAGTGGTGCCCAGAAGCTCCCCAGAGGTCTTATCTCCACAGAGCTTCCCAATGTCAAGCTCTATACTCCATGTTTGTCTTTATGTGACCTGACCCAGAGCTTGCTCTACACAAACTACCTGAGTCCTTCAGTAAAGGCTCAGAGACTTACCAGTTCCAGAAATTTAAGGAAACTGATGTCTGATTATTAGCTGATGACTAAGTTAGCACTAAGTAGAGACTTCGGTGGCAGCAAACAACAAAGGATACAGGCTTTACAGGATTAGTCTGAGAAAGTCCCTAAACAAAGAAAAAGCAACAACAATAATCCCTGGGAAAAGAGGGGTCTTATTTCCAGAGTTGCCACATTCTGTTATTTAAAATGGCTGGTTTTCGACAAAAGATCGCAAGATACATGAAGAAACATGAAAGAATAAAGAGTGGCCAATACATAGGACAGACTACAGCCAATAGAAACCATCCTGGAAAAGACCTAGATGCTGGATTTATCAGAGAAACATTTTAAATAAGTTTTTACAAATATGTTCAGATAACAAAAGGAAACTACATCTAAAAAATTAAAGGAATGTGAAAGAACAATGCCTCACCAAATAGAGAATATCAATAAAGAGATAAGAATTCTTAAAAAAAAAAAAAAAAGAACCAAAGAGAAATGCTGGAGCTGGAAAGTGCAATAACTAACATTTTTTTAAAAATTCACTATATGGGCTCGGTAGTAGATTCAAGCAAGCGGAACAAAGAACTAGCAAACTGGACAATAGGTTGATAGAGATTATCCAGTCTGAAAACAGGAAGACAAAAGAAGACCTATGGGACACCACTGAATGTACCAACACATGCGTAAAGGGAGTTCCAGAAGGAGAGGAGAGGAGGATAGAGGCAGGAAGAATATTTGAAGAAATAATGAATGAAAATGTCCCTAACATTAAGCCATACATCCAAGAAGTTCAGGCAGGATGAACTCAAAGAGATCCATTTTAGAAACATAAGGAAATGGTCAAACGCCAGAGATAACGAGGGAATCTTGAAAGCAGCAGGAGAGAAGTAACCTGTCACATAAAATGGATCCTTAATAAAATTAACAGATGACTAATGCTCAGAAACCATGGAGGCCAGAAGACAATATAATGGCATATCCAGAGTGCTGAAAGGAAAAGACTGCCAACCAACAATTCCATATATAGCAAAAACAGCCTTCAAAAACAAAGGAGAAATTAAGTCATTCCCAAATGAACAAAGACTGAGAGAATTCACTGCTAACACACTGCTCTTCAGAAAGTTCTAGAAGGGGTCCTTCAGGCTAACATGAAAGGATCCTACACAGTTCTTGAATCCACATGGAGAAATAGAGCACACTGATAAAAGGAAATATATGTCAGTATACACGTATTTTTGTTTTTAACTCTTCTCCTATCTGATTTAAAAGACAACTGCATAAAGCAATAATTATAAAGTTTGTTGGTGGCCTTATAATGTATAGAGATGTAATTTGTATGGCAATAGTATCACAAATGTGGGGATAGGAAGCAGAACTAAATTACAACAAAGTTTTTCTTTACTATTGTTATTAGGTTGACCTTAATCTGAACTGGAAATGTTTTAAACAAAAATGTTCCTTATACTCCTCAAGGCAACCACTAAGAAACTAACTAACAAAATATAGTAAAAGAAACAATAAGGGATTAAAATGGCATACTAGACTGTCTTTAATACAAACAAAATGGAGGGAAAGAAAAATAGAGGAGCAAAAAGGGCAAGACAAGACGTACACAGGCTTCCCCTCAGAGACACTGCAGGTTCAGTTCCAGACTATTGCAATAAAGAGCATATTGCAATAAAGTGAGTCAAATGAATTATTGGTTTCCCAGTGCATATAAAAGCCACGTTTACACTATACTGTAGTTTATTAGGTACGTAATAGCATTATGTCTAAAAAATCAATGTCTATGCTTTAATTCAAAATACTTTAGCAATAGTGGCACCTGGGTGTCTTAGTTAAACGTCTGCCTCTGACTCAGGTCATGATCTTAGGGTCCTGGGATTAAGCCCCACATGGGGCTCCCTGCTCTCTCTCCCTCTGTTGTTCCCCTGCTTGGGCTCTCTTGCTCTCTTTCTCTCAAATAAATTAAATAAATAAGAAAGTATGTAAATAAGCAAGTACACAAATAAATAAATAACATTTTTACAAAGTACTTTATTGAGTGGCTCAGTGGGTTAAAGCCTCTGCCTTCAGCTCAGATCATGATCCCAGAGTCCTGGGATCAAACCCCACATCGGGCTCTCTGCTCAGCGGGGAGCCTGCTTCCCCCTCTGCCTCTGCCTGTCTCTCTGCCTACTTGTGATCTCTGTCAAATAAATAAATAAAATCTTTTTAAAAAAAGTACTTTATCAACTATACTTCAATTAAAAAATATTTTATTGCAAAAAAATTAACCACCATCTGAGCTTTCAGTGGGTCATGATCACTGATCACAGATTAACACTGATCCCAAACTCTAACAAATATAATAGCAAATGAAAAAGTTCGAAATATTGTGGGAATTACCAGAATGTGATACAGAGACAAGGCATGAGCAAATACTGTTGGAAAGAGGGTGCCAGTAGAGTTACTCGATGCACGGCTGCCACAAGCATTTAATTTGTGGAAAATGTACTACCTGTGAAGCACAGTAAAGCAAAAAGCAATAAAGCAAGGTATTTGTAGTGGCAGTGGAAAAGAATAGATAAATTCACCTTAATCAAATAAAAAACTTCTGTGTGTCAAAGGACACTGACAAAAAAGTGAAAAAAATAAAAGCCCACAGAATGGGAGAAAATATTTACAAATCATATACCTCATTAAGCTCTAGTATCCAAAATATACAAAAGCCCCTTACAACTCAACATTAAACAGACACAATCAGAAAAATCCTAATTAGAAAATGAGTAAAGGATTTGGATGGACATTTTCCCAAGGAAGATATACAAATGACCAATAAGCACGTGAAAAGGGGCTTCTCATTAGTCATCAGGGAAATGTAAGTGAAAGCTACGATGAGATGCCATTTCATACCTGCAGCTAAAATAAGAAAGGCAGACAATAGCAAATATTGGCAAGGACATGGGTAAATTAGAACCTTTCTATATTGCTAGTGGGATTGTGAAATGGTGTAGCCACTCTGGCAAAGAGCTTGGTAGTTCCTCCAACAGTTAAACAGAGTTACCATATGACTCATCAGTTGTATTCCTAGGTATACACCCCAGGGAACAGAAAACAAATGTTCACACAAAAACTTACACATGAATTTTCATAGCAGCATTATTAATAATAGGCAGACATGAAAACAACCTGAATGTCCATTCAATGAGAGATGGATAAACAACATGTGATATATCCATACCACGGAATACTATCCGGCCAGAAGAAGGAGTGACATACACAACACACACGACAACATAGATGAACCTTGACCACATGGTGCTCAAGTGAAAGGAGCCAATCACAAATTATGTGATTCCATGTATAGGAAATATCTACAAGAGGCAAATCCATGGAGACAAAAAGGAGATTAGTGGTTTCTGGGGGCCAGGGGTAGGGGGGAGAGAACAGAGGATGACTATCAGTGGATTCAGGGTTCCTTTATGGGGTGATACAAATTTCCATAATCAGACAGACGTGATGAACCTGAACCACTGAACTGTACATTGTAAAGGGTGAATTTGGGGGTGCCTGGATGGCTCAGTTGGCCTACTCTTGATTTCAGTTCAGGTCATGATCTCAGGGTCCTGGGATTGAGCCCTGGGTCAGACTCCGCACTCTGTGGGGTGTCTGCTTGAGTTTCTCTCTCTCCCTCCCCCTATGCCCCTCCCCCTGCTCGCTCACTCTCTCTTTCTCTAAAATAAATAAATATTTTAAAAAATTCAAGGGTGAATTTTACAGTGTCTGAATTTTATCTCAATAAAATACCTATCTCAAAAAGGTCATACATGTAAAAACAAATGAACAAAAGGCATAGCCTTTCCTTATAGCTTTTGAGTCTTAGTGATGGAGATTTCAGGCAGCATGGAGAAGCTTACATAATCCACCACTAGCTCCACTTCTTGATCTTCTCCTCTCAGTTTCCTCACAACTTTTTGGATGAAGTCTGCAAACTTGGTGGCCATGTAGACATCTTCGTTCTGTAGCTGAAGCCCACCACACTTCTGTCTGATCTCTTCAACCAGCCTTAAAGTTAAGAAGCAATTCACATTACTTACATTTTTAAAAGGGTTTAGGGGAACCATATTATTACGTTTGTCAAGTTGCTTTGAGATAAGACATGTCACATGCCTATTTATAGCCTATGAGATCATCCGTGATAATACCTGGAGAAATTGGGTAAGACCGGGAGAATAAAATTAAAAAGCTGTCTTGAAGGACAGTGGCTATTCTTTGTTTTTTAACTTTTTATATAGCTAAAATGAAAAGAAACCAAGGCAAAAATATTTTACCTATTGCAAGCAAGATTATAAGGGTCACATAAAATCCATTCCCTTTGTTTCAAAGGTAAGCAAGGAATGAGAAATAAAGGAAAGTCCCTCACTGTAAAGATTATGAAACAAAAGTCATATTGTATAATATTGTCTCTAGATCTTGTATAAGAATGAAACAAACATGTCCTTGCATTATATGGTTAGTGTAGCTACTAAGTAGAATCAGGCAGTAGGTCAAGATAATTTTTGAAGTCTCTTCCAACCCTTTGATTTTTTGCTGTTCATTTTTCAAATTATTGCTGCTATTTGCCATTTGTGGAATAGCACCGGTGTGCTAGATGCAAGACAGAAAGACCCCCATGGTTGTTGCTCAGTCATTTCTTCTGCAAAAGAGATGAGGTGCTTTGGCAGTTCAAGATAATAGTATCAGGCGATTATTCAGATACTCAAGCGGAAAATGGGCAATTTGTACAGGAGCATCTTGCTGGTGAAAAATATATAGTATTGAAACCTTTAGTTGAGAAATTAGAAGTTTTGGGAAACTGATGAACCATAGCTGAGAAATTTGTAATTTGAGGAACCAAAACTCTTGACTTCGATAATGTTGTTTGCTCTGGAGATGACTATTTGGATTAGTGGAATAAAAATTCCATGAATGAAGGAACTTTTTCCTGTTCATGACTGTCTGTATTCCCAGGGCAAAAACTGTTCCTGATATGTAGTACATACTAAATGAATTTTGTGGAATAAGTGAGTGAATAAACAAATAAACAGAACAACCATCAAGAACACTCACTTTTTTTTTTTAACATCAGGAGTTGCATTCTTTAACTTATTAAATTAATGAATGGCCATAGTGTGGCCCTCAATGAAAAAAAAATACCTCTGAGAGACTCTTCGCTATTAGGATCCTCACAGACTTACTTTTTTTTTTTTTTTTTAAACCATAGAATAGAGCCTTCTGGGACTCTAGCTCTTTCAACTTGCCATAAACCTCTGTAGAGAAATTTTAACTACAGGGTAATTATTCTTCCTCTTGCAAGTATCTTGATAGTCCTTATTCTAGATATATCTTACTGGGTAATTCTGGGGTATAGGAAAAAAAAAGATATTGGGGGAAGCATAATCGATGTTGGGTCTCCTTCTGAATCAGACTATGTAGGTAATTCCTGATAAATGTTCTCATCCAGAACTTCCCATTCCAATGCTGTGTGGGAGGAAAATTAGCTAAGAAACGTGAGGACAGATTTTTAAAAGAAACAAACAATTACAAGCATTGGTTTTCTAGGTATATAGAAGATATGAAAACAACTTCTGGCTAGCAACAAAGAGGAAGGAGCAAATATATGTGTGTGACCATGGAAAAAAGCAATCCAAGAAGGATGAAGAAAAGAGAAACAGAGTATAGTGGTTATGGTACAGTGATAACATCTAGAACAAAGGATTGGATTTGAGTTTCAAAGTCAAAGTCAAAATCCCTAAGGGAGGGGTGTGAGTCAATAAGGTGACTGTTTTACCTGACAACATCCATTGAGCTCGCTCCAGATTTAAAGAAGTCTGTTGAGTCTTCAATAACAGGGACATTGCTTAAAATTCCAGCCCAGATGACCTATACAGCAAGGGTAATTTTAATGAAGGATGTGCCATGAAGAACACAGAGGCAGAGACTGGCCAGGTCCTCAACCAAACCTACTTATTTTTCATCTTGGATACATGGCTTAACTACATTTTTCAGCATCTCTTCAAGTTAGATGTAGCCATATGACCGACTTCAAGCCAATGAATGTGAGCAGAAGTAAACTTGACTCCTAGTCTTGACCCATGAAAAACCTCCTTCACACAATTCTAGTGTGCTCTTTTGCCCTTCTTAGCTGTCTGGGAAGTAGATGACCCGTATGGTGACCTTGAAGATAGCAGAGCTTGGGTCCCCGAATGAATCCACTCCTAATCCTTACATTCCAGCTTTACCCTTCACCCTCATGTCGACCTAGAACTGCCTTACAACATTTTGTGAATGAGAAATAAATTTGCATACAAATTTTGGAGTTGATTTCCTACTGCAGCTAATACAAAAAAGAGGCAAGACAGTGTGTGCTCACTATTCTGAAGACTGAGGGTTCAGTTACATAACTGCTGCAGTTTCAAGGTCAGAGCAACATTAAAGACATCACATGTTCACCTTGATGGTCCCTGCCACCTTCATCTCTTCGGGGGTAAGTTCTACCACGGATGTCTCCCCGGCTGAAAAGTACTGAGAAGCAGGAATCATTCTTCCATCTTCAAACTGCAGATTTCTCACCATCAGCTACAAAATAGCAACACAATAAGCCAAAGGATGGAAGATTAGGACAATTCAAAAGTGAGGTCGGTGGGAGAAGGAGTGTCACATATTTTAGGAATACAAAGATCAGCGTATTTGGCAAATACAAAAATGTGGATTGAAAGCACTCACCATTATTTGTGAAAGGATGGAAATGGTATTTTACTAATGACAGCAGAAAGGAGAAAATGAAGTCTAGGGGTAGATACACATCTTGAAATGGATAATTAGCTCCTGAAAAAATGGACACTTGGATGTATATATTTAGACTAAAGCCTATTATAACTCCTCTTCCTCCTCCCACTACTACAATGATCCGTCCTCCTTCTCTTATGGCCATCCTCTGCTGCAGGCACAGTGCTATAGGTATGTGCATGCATAGGTGTCTTATTTAATCTCATAAATCCTGGTGGAAGCAGGTACCATTATTATTCCCATGTTCCTGATAAGGAAATGGAGGCTCAATGAGGTTAAGGAATTTGCCCAATGCCACACAGCTAGTTAGTCACAGAGCTGGGGTTACAACCCAGAACTAGCTGGACTGTGCAGCCTACAATTTTAATTATTGATCAGACCTGCACGCTACCAGAATATATGTGCAAGCTGCAAATTCCCCTTTGCTTTCTTCAAAGAGTTCACTGAAGCCAAGAGCCCCTGCTGCCAAGCACAGACAGTGTGAGGGGGCGCCTGCACGAGGGGAAAGGCAATTAGCCTCTGAAGAGTCCCATATCCACCCTATTTATCCTGCCAGACTCTAGTGGTAAGGCAAACCTATGAGACCACACTCTGTTTTATAGACCGGGAAATGAAGACTCAGAGGGGAGAAGCACACTTCCCTCAACTGGTAAGTGGCAGAGGAAGGGTTCTCATCATGTTTCTCGACTAAATTCCAAGCTCTTTCTACTATATCACAAAACAGACCATGCACATCCTTGAGGCATATCCTGGGGAGCCTCGTTCTCATCCTGGCACCCTGAGCCACCTCAGAAACAGGGCACAGATATCTCGAGCTCCCCATATCACACTGTGAAACCAGATTATCTTGTGAAAGATACTCCCTTAGCAGCTGGGGTTATAGAAGGAAACCAAAAACGTTACTTTGTAGGTGACCGTATTGAACACTCACTGCTTTTCCATCATTACCAAAAAGAACAAGTCCATTTTTGGTAACAAGACCAGGCTTCTTGGCACCTTTAATTTCCAGTGGTTCTCCAGGAGGGACAGAGCTTTTCAGTAATGATGAGCCGTAGAACGTGACCATCTAAGAGAGAGACCAAACCCAGACTGTGAGAGGAGGGAGTTACACCTACAGACAGGGGCGTGTGCCAGCAGCACGCCTTGTAAGCAACCTTAAACTGGGATTATCATTTATGATAAAATTGGAATACCTCAATGTGGGAAATGGTATCAAGCATCTGTAGGGATGACACAATTAAGAGATAATCTATGAAGATATGACTGAAGAAATTTAAGAATGCCTCACATCCGGATGACTTTTATCATTTATTCACATCAAGTCAAAAGTGAATGAGACAAAGAGTTCTCGCAGACTTCAGAGCCTGAAGCAAGGGTTTTCAGAGCTGTGTGGAGGTGGTGCTGGGGAGTCAGCGAGAGCAGATATGGGGACCAACACTGGACTGTTGCCATCCAGTGTGATTACTGGTGGGAAATATAGGGTGGTCTGTGGGTCAGTTAGTGGAAACAGGACTGGATTCAGACTAATCAAGAGAATGTGATGCTAATTGATTTGTGATTATAATTCTATGGCAATTAGCTATCACTTATTGAGCACTATGATAGTTAACATTTATTGAGTACTTATTGCAGAGACTAAGTACTTCAATGAATTAACATGTATTGACCCATTTAGTTTTCACAGTGACCTATAACCAATAAAAGAGGCACTATTATTAGTCCCATTTACAATAAGGAAACCCGATGGGTAAGTAACCTGCCCCAGGTTACCTAGCAAAAGTGGATCTATGTGTAATACCTCTTAGAAAGGTAATACACACACACACACACACACACACACAGAATTGGTCCCTAGAACGTACCTGTCCATTTATCTCTGTCCAAGCTCCAGGGACTTTATCATGACCTCGGATCCAGTTATGTAATACTTCAGCCGACTGATCCCAAGAAATCTAGGACAGCACAAAGCACAGGCTGCACTCCTAATGCTATGAATGTCAAAGGTAATAGAAACATTTCTCCCCATCAGTGGTGGAAGTAGGGTTGGGGCAGAATAGGTCAGGGAGGCTTGGAGATCTACCTTTCGGCCAGGAAATGGTACATTGGGAACTACTTAAAAGTAAAGGGCCAAGAACATTAAGGTGTGTTATTGAGTTGATATAAATACCTCAGCATTTTCCTTTTTTTGGATACCTTCATATGTTGCCCCTTCTTCCAGCTGGGGAATCCGAGGAGCTTTCCCATCAGCTATGAGTTGGACAGCTTCCACCTAAAGTCAAAAACATGATCTGTGTCACAGCCCAGTGGTCAATAATGGCATCGTTTGTTTAACAGAAGCTTACGCTAAATAGAATTGCTACATTTAAATCTGTCCAGGGGCTCCTGGCTGGCTCAGGCGGAAGAGCATGTGACTCTTGATCTCAGGGTTGTGAGTTCAAGCCCCACACTGGGCGTAGAGATTACTTAAATAAATAAAACTTTAATAAATAAATAAATAAATAAATAAATAAATAAATTTGTCCAGAGGATCAGACTATGACAATAACTACCTTTTCTTCAGTTCCATCTGTGTCCCAGGCAATGTGGTAGTTACTTTATATAAAATATCCTTTGCAGACATCACACCAATCCTGCCAGGTGGATATTATTATTCCAGCTTTCCAGATGAGGAAACTGATTCTTAGAAAAGTGAAGCAACTAGCTCAAGATCACAGAGGTAGCTACTGGGTGTCAGAAGCAAAATCTGCATCCGAGTTTACCTACTGCCTGAGCTGTTACTCTTAAAAATGACTCCCTTGAAAGAAATTTCAACTTCCCCTTGGTGACCTAGGGGGAATTTCAGTAATTGGATTGTAGGGTAAGTCCGTGTGAGTGATTTCTACTCATCAAGATGATTCTAGAAAGTGATGCATTGTTATATTTAAATAATTCGACTTGATTTCTAGCTCAGGACACCTGGAATGACAAAACGGTTAAAATCTACGCATGAGTTTAATTGCCTTTGGGATGTGTCCTGAAGTCTTTCTGTGCCAGATTCATGTTTGCCTGGAGTTGAGAGCCTCTCTCTTTCACAGGGAGGCCTACGTGAGCTTGAGTTCTCGGACCTCTCAGTATTTATGGCTGCTGACCAACCTCTCTAAGAGCTTAGGGGCAACCTAAGCACAGGGTCAGTTCATAGCTCCTTCATTCACCCACTTCAGGCTGTGATATCATCAGGCGCATGATCTGGGCTTCAGCAAATGCCACTGAACACACATAATACGATTTTGATTGTCATGATCATTTTTGAGCACCTACCATGTGCCGAGTGCTTTACACAAATGCTACTTAATTTCTCAGCAGCCCTTATAAGTCGGGTAGTATCCACAGAAGGAAACCAAGGCTAAAGAAGGCAAGTGACTTGTCTCTTGTCATAGAACAGATAAACAGTAGAATGAGAACTCTGATCTCTTTCTGACATCAAAGCCTTACTCTCAAAACCTTTAAATGACGCAAACCAGACGGCTCTCCTCTCTCCAGAATTAATAGCTGCTTCTTTATACCATCTTAGTGTCTATCTCCGTGTCGCTACTTCTTCCATATCCAATTCAGAAAACATTAAATGATGCTGAAATTATCTTTCCATATTTTTACAGGCTAAAAATATATTTTTACTTTGTGGTGCACACGCTTTGAGCTTTTTGCCCAGAGCACATCTGAATAAATAAAGCAATGCCAAATTTCACCCTGTTATGCAGACTGAGTTCAAATACTTTTGAAGCCCAACGTCCACAGCAAAATTTCTTGAGATTTTGTACACTTCTTTACCATTAGTCAATACAAACTGGGTTGGCAATTCAAGTATTTGGCAAAAGAAATGAACCAGTTTCATTATCGGTTCATTTCAAGAAATGAACCAACTTCATCCATCTGATCACTGTTCTCAGAAAAACAAGCTTCACAGGCTAAGAAATTTTTTTTTAAGATTTTATTTATTTATTTGACAGAGAGAGATCACAAGCAGGCAGAGAGGCAGGCAGAGAGAAAGAGGAGGAAGCAGGCCCCCTGCTGAGCAGAGAGCCTGAAGTGGGACTCGATTCCAGGACCGTGAGATCACGACCTGAGCCGAAGGCAGAGGCTTAACCCACTGAGCCACCCAGGAGCCCCAGGCTAGGAAATTTTAATGTTTGGATTTCCACCCTAAATATACCATCCTATTGGCAAATATAAAATCTAATTTTGTTTTCAGTTTTATACTTTTTGTAAATCAACATGAGAAAATTCTCAATAATAGAAAAGTATTTCTAAAATGTTAAAGCTTTATTAAATTCTTCTGGATGGTGTAGATATACTAACCATGGCCTTGATTCCTTCAGGAAAAAGAAACCGATTATAAAGAGCATCCACTGTATCGTTGGGTTCGACGTCACATGACCTCTGAAGAAGGATGGGTCCTGTGTCTAAACCATCATCGGCCCAGAAAACAGAAAACCCAGCTTTCTTATCTCCCATAATTAGAGTCCTGTGAAAAGAAGAGCTTCAACTTACAATGGTGATTTAACATATCACAAAGTGATGAATTAGTGATATTAAAGTGCAAGGGAGTGGGACATCTGGGTATCTCAGTGAGCTACGTGGCCGACTCTTGATTTTAGCTCAGGTCATGATCTCAGGGTCCGGAGACTGAGTTCCACGTCGAGCTCACTGAGCTTAGAACCTGCTTCAGATTTTCCTCTCACCCTCTCCCTCTGCTCCTTCCCCCCACCTTCCAACTCCCCTCTCCCCAAGCTCATGTGTGCTCTCTCTCCCTCTCTCTCTTAAAAAAAAATAAATAAATAAAGTGCAAGGTAGTTCTAGTGGAAAGTAGACAGTGAGGGAACTACTGTGAGAAATGAGCAGTATAGCCAAGAGATGTCAGTATTCATAAAAAGCACTACTTGATGGTACCGCTATTTTATACATAGCTATAGTCTTTCTTGTTAATACACACTAACGACTTCTAGTCTACTCAAAAGGGCACTAGAATCTGTCATTACTGCCACTCATTATCTTCCAGTTGTCAGCTTTCTGCTGTGGCATCAAGCAATTTTGCCCACCTGGGACCAATTCCTACATTGTATTTGACCCTATGTTAGGCAGAATGAGATAATGGAAGATAAAAGAGAAGATGGTCAGTGGAGGAGAACTTATTAGTTCTCATAACTATTTATCTAGGTTATGTCATTTGGATGTAATTCAGAGCTAGAATTAGCTCTAGATTGTCTAGGTAAATTATAGTAAAAGATGGTTGAATTAGTCTTTGTATATTATGTTCTTTGTATTCATGCTTTATAAAGCTTTGCCTAGGGGTGCCTGGGTAGCTCAGTTGGTTGAACATCTGATTTCGGTTTTAGGCTCTGGTCATGATCTCAGTGTCCTGAGATCGAGCCCAGGTAGAGGGCTCAGTGCTCAACCAGGAGTCTGCTTGAGATCTGAGATCCTCTCTCTTCTCTCTCCCTTCTCCTGTTCCTCTCTCCCCCCTCTGCCGCCTCCTTCCCCACCCCCAAGGGCATATGCACACACACTCTCTCTCTCAAACAAATAAATAAGTAAATAAATAAAATCTTGGGGGGAAAAAGCTTAGCCTAAGAGAAAATGTTTCCCCATAAGAGCTTATAATACAAACAATGAGCTGAATATGTAGACATATCAGATAAAAGCATATCAGAGGCTCAGGTAGTATCAAGAGAATATGAAGTAATACATCATACATGCTCATGACCTAAATAACTTTTAAATCTTGGAGCTACTAATCTAGCAAGACCTATTAATCAATCACTCTTTTCAGAAATATTGAGGAATTTATTGGCATTATGTTATCAAGAGGCTTGAAAACATTCATATACTTTCTTTGTTTTAGATTTTATTTATTTATTTGATTGAGAAAGTGTGTGTGAGAGAGAGAGTATGAGCAGGGATGAGGGGTAAAGGGAGAGGGAGAAGCAGGCTCCCCTCTGAGCAAGGAGCCAGATGTGGGGTTCGATACCAGGACCCTGGGATCATGACCTGAGCCACAGGCAGACACTTAAATGACTGAGCCACCCACGTGCCCCAAAACATTCATACACTTTGATCCAGTGACTCTGTATGTGGAAACAATGTGAAATGAGAAAAAAAACCCCACAAGTTTAAGTGTAAAGATGACCATACAGTACCATTACAGGGGCAAAAAAGAAATTGATTCATGCCAAATACAACGAAATGTCATTCACCACATTTAAACTAAGTGTAATTTTCTGCCCATTTAACAACTTGACACTGAGCCATATCAGGGTGATGTACAGGGAAAGGAGAGAAGGTAGAAAAGCATACCTGTGGTATTTAGGACTTACAGTGTACCTGCAGCAATAAAAATGTTAGACCATAGTCCCTTCCCTCAAGAACCTTAAAGTTGAAGAGGATAAGACAGAACGAAGAAGATAATTTCAGGTAGCTCGGCATTCCTTGAAATGTACTTGAGATGCTCTAGGCAAAAAAAGTTCTAAGGTCAGGGGCACCTGGGTGGCTCAGTGGGTTAAAGCCTCTGCCTTCGGCTCGGGTCATGATCCCAGGGTCCTGGGATCGAGCCCCGCATCGGGCTCTCTGCTCGGCAGGGAGCCTGCTTCCTCCTCTCTCTCTCTGCCTGCCTCTCTGCCTACTTGTAATCTCTGTCTGTCAAATAAATAAATAAAATCTTTAAAAAAAAAAAAGTTCTAAGGTCAAATAAGTTTGGGAATGCTTTGTACTCAGATTCCCTCTTGGAGATTATGATGCTCTCACTAAAGCACATCTAAAAGGTTCTCAGAAGTCCTGTGATCAAGAAATCCAGCATAAACCAAACCTGTCTGAATTACCTAGCTATCTCCAATGGAGCCAGTACTCCATAGACTGACCTTGAAAATGCTGTCTAGCCCATGGAGTACTGCTAAGTCTCAGGGGGAGTTCATGCAGGAGTAGCAATCAGTCAGGGCCTCACAATTGCTCAAGCATACCTATTTTCTTGATCTCCTACATTGAAAACAGAAGGATTAAAAACCATAGAAATAGGCCTCTCTTCTCTATAATCAAGAAAATTCTCACCAGTTGATAGCAGAGGCTCCTCTGTGCCTGGGAAGGATGGAAGGGTGATATATGATAGAACCGTGCTTTGGACTGTCAATTATATCCATGGGGATAAACTGTGTGCAGAAGGGTAGCACATTGAGCTCAGCACCCACAGATTTGTAGGCTTCCGCCACCTCCTTGATGGTCTTGCCCTTGACTCTCCATCTGGGGAACTTGAAAACAGGGGTCCCATCTTTCTCTGCAGCTAGAGCTGGGCATGAAAGAGAAAGTTATTTTTATTAAAATAAAAAATGGCCATAAGTTAATATGGCTATGGATTCACACATTACAGTTTTACAGCTTCAAGAAACATTTACAAATAGAACATGGTGAAGGGCAATTTAGATTGAGATCAGAATTTGACCTGTTATAATTTTATCATGATCCATCCATTTTCCTAATGTGACTTTTATCTATAGATTTGAGACATAATATATTCATACTCAGAAGTTTGTAGCTAGATAACATTTTAAAATTTTAACTGAAGCTTTTTTGTTTTATAGGTAAAAAAATTATACTATTATTACAGATATAGCCATATAAAGAATATTGTTAGATTTGGAGCCAAGTGTTGACACATGAGCATTTGGTATCTGGCACAGATGGAAAACCATGAGCCCCTTCCCAAGCCTATTTCCTAGAGGGAAGTCTCTTTGAAAACAAGGCAAACTATAGATCCGAACACATTCTCCCTGCCAAACAGATAGATCCCCAAAAATAAAGAGAGAAAGTTTTTGAGCTGAGCTGGGCTTGTCTAGTTCCTTCTCCCAAATTCACCTATGAGATAAGTTAGTGGACAAAAGAAGCCAAGAATGGAGAATACATGCTCCTTGTGAGGGTTTTGCCATACTGGAGAAGGTCCAAGGCTCTTTCCCACAAAAACTGTCCTTTCCAAAGGAAGGGCTCCATCTGCTTCTGTGTGGAAAAGGAATGGCCCTCCCAAGTGCAGACAGCACTAGCTCATTTTTTTCCATAATAAGATATTACTTCTACTAACTATATACCTTATGAATATTAAGCATATATATTTATTTTTCTACCAACAACACAAAGCAAGTATATTTTAGGCAATTTTTAAGAGCTTTAAGTAAGGCTTTTTAATCTGTATTTTTGGGCTCCCTTTCCTTTCTCCCCCATTGGATCATCAACCTTCACTGACTTTAGATGGGATGATGGCTGCACTAGAAAGCCACTAGAAAGCCTAAATTCCAAAATCTAATCTAAATTCCAAAATTCCTAAATCTCCACTAGAAAGCCTAAATTCCAAATCCTAAATGAGTCCTGAAGGAATCCTGCCATCAAGCCAATGCCTTGATCAATGGGAGAGACTGGAAAAATAATGTGTACAAAATGTGAATGTTCATAAAATGTTTAAAAAACTATAAACAACTCATTTTCAGATGATAGGAAAATGAATAAATGGTAAAAAAAAAAAGGTGAAATTGGGAGAAAATTGTACAAGATTAGACTGGAAAAAAAATGGGTTGAGAAACTTAGAAGTCTTTGTTTTAAAACTCTACACCACGGAGATAGGCTTGTGGCGTTCACCTTCCATACTGATTTGTGGCTATTTTTGGCTGTTCTAGTTGACTATTCTGACAACAAGAATAGTTAACCACTGTCATCTTGACCCCATTTCATCAATTAGGCACAGGGCTAAGCACACTATGTCGTTATTTCAACTAATCTGTGTAAGATGGGTGTTGTTGAACTAAGGTTAGTGAGTTTTAGTAGCTTGCCCATCATCATGCAGCAAGTAAGTGGCAGAGGCAGAATTAGTTCCTTGACTCCAAAATAAACACTGTTAACTATATGCTGTACCACATCCCAGGCTGCTCTACAAGACAGATTGGTATTTTTTTCTTACCTATGTTATGCCAGCAGCCAGATGGCCATGACCAATGGAAAGGAGGTCCCAGCCCTGGGACCAGACACTAGGGAAAGTTAGTTTCCCTGGACAACCTTTGGAAGGAACTTTATGAGTCACAAGCTTGCATTTCTTCTGAAAGTCATACTAATTGTTATTAGTATGTTAATTGTTCCCCTTCATTCTTTAGCAAAGATTCCTGTACTTTGGCAGAGCACATAGATGCTCTGAATAAAAATCTACATTTCTCAGTTTATTATGCAAAGAGATTTGGCCTGTGACCAAGTTCTAGTCAGCGGGATACAAGTGGGACAAATATGTGCAACTTCTGGATGATATCCCAAATAAAGGCTTGCCCTCTGCTTCCCCTCTTTCCTTGCCACTTGCCAGAATGCAGACTTGTTAGTTGGGGCTAAAGCAGCTACCTTGGACCATGAGATGGAAGTCCAGTGTTGATAAGGACGAAACAAAAAGGGCAGGATCCTGCATTGTGATGAACATAAAGCGGTCACAACAGCACTAATGGCCAACTCAGACTTGAGAAATGGACTTCTGTGTTACTTAAGCTAATTTTATTTGGGGTTTCCCTGATTCGATAGCCAATCTGATATCCCAAATATAAGTCCTCCCAAATATCCCCGTACAAAGCTGATGGGAATAGATAATAATAGCACAGATAATCTCAGTAATAGGAACCTGTCCCCTTCAGCCCTTGGAGCCAGGTCTAAATTGATGAGGCAGATTCCCTCAGAATTCCCCTGGTTGGGATAACCTTTTTCTGAAACAAGGGTAATTTCTAAATCAAGTGATTAGGTTCATATGTGTGTATGTGCTCTTGACCCAACTTTTTTAGCTTGAATCTTGAAAAACAGTGTTAAAATACAATAGTTTTAAAAATAGTAACAAGAGGGGCACCTGGGTACCTCAGTGGGTTGAGCCTCTGCCTTTGGCTCGGGTCATGATCTCAGGATCCTGGGATCGAGCCCTGCATTGGATTCTCTGCTCAGCAGGGAGCCTGCTTTCCCTCTCTCTCTGCCTGCCTCTCTGCCTACTTGTGATCTCTCTCTCTGTCAAATAAATAAATAAAATCTTAATAAAATAAAATAAAATAGTAAGAGTTAGAATAAACCTCAGAACTGCTGCTTCTGAGGAAAAAAAGGATAAAATTTAAGGGATATCACAGATCACTGTTTTCCAACCAATCTGTCACATTATGCCAGTGATTTATGAAGATCTCATTCAAAAGCCAAGATATCTGGTTGCTCACTTATTCCCTGTCTATACAGTTTGTAGACTGCTTCTATCTCTGTGTCTTACACGTATTCTCAACATAACTATATTTGATTCTTGAAAAATACAGGTTTGAACAATGTGGGTCCACTTACATGTGAAAATTTTTTTTGATATAGTACTATAAATGTATTTTCTCTTCCTTATGATTTTTTAAAATAACATTTTCTTTTCTCTAACTTACTTTCTTGTAAGAATACACTATGTAATACATATAACATACAAAAATGTGGTAATGAATTGCTTATGTTATTGGTAAGACTACCCTCTGGTCAACAGTAGGCTATTAGTAGGTAAGTTTCGGGGGAGCAAAGAGTTATATGTGGATTTTAGACCGTGTAGGAGGTCATTGCCTCAAACCCCTGCATTGTTCAAGGGTCAACTGTTTAGCTTGCAAATCAGAATCCCACTGCAGGTTTGCTTTGAGGGTGGCTATCTTCTTTAACCTTACCTTAACAGCCAAGCAGCCACAGCTCTAATTTGTTCTGACATAAATGCATTCTTTATGACCCCACATCAATTTCTGTTCTTAGATGTGGCCCTCCCTTCATTTCCACTGGCACCCCTGAATCAGACATTATTCTAGATGTTCCATAACACCCTTGTAAAGTTGCAAGTGTAGTTCAGAAAAAACAGATGCGTGGAAATTCCTCTGATGGACCTGGTGATTACCTTGGAAGTAAGTGGAGAAACTCTTAATATAATGGGACCATGCATCTTTTCTTGGGGTCCATGGAGAAGGGAGAATTGAGTCTATTCTATCATGCAAATAGACTTAGCTTGAGAAGGCTTCCAACAGGTGGAGTAGATGTGGCAGAACCCAGAGGGGAGGTCGGTAGTTTGGGTCTTTGGAGCCTGTGGCGAAGAAGTGTAGAAATGCTAATGAGGGGTAAGGGGTCTGAACTGGGGCCTGTGCTGGCTGGGTTGGTGCAGAGTACCTGGTTCAGTAGTTCTAAGATATACTCACCCAGCGGGTCAGCTTTTCCATCCTTGTCTGGAACAGTGAACACGCCTACAACACGGTGGCCCTCTTTGCAGAGGTGGTTGTAGACTTCCTGTCCAAAGAGGCTCTGACCGATAAGTGCCAACTTCAGCTTGTTTTTGAAATAAACCTATGAAACAATCCAACAACGGCAGATATTGGCATGGATAGAAGACATATGGATGATAAAAACTCTTTTCCCAACCATACGAGATGACTTGAGGACAAAAAAATCCCTCAAAGATCTACAAAATAAAATTTGCATTGACATACACTGGACCCAGGCTGGATTATACATAGTTAGTAGTGAAAATAATTTCACATGGAAGAATTCCTCTTTTCCCCTTTGCTCTAATTCTCCCAGTTATTCATTGTAATCATTGGGATGGCATATATTTTACAAGTCATTCCAACTCCTTGCTGAAATGAAGCCAGATGTTAGCAAGTGTAAGTCTCATAGTTAAAAGGAGTTTAACTCTGAGCAAGATCTGCATCAACATGATGATGATTTTATGAGCTAAACTCATCTCTTAACTTCCAAAGGAGGCCAAGAGCTAACATGTGGTCTAGAACACAGGGGTCAAGAGCAGACCCTAGAGCTAGACTACCTGAAGTTAAAATCTAGTGCCACTCTTGTTTAGTCATGTGGCTTTAAGCAAGTGACCAATTTCTGTTGCCTTTTTTCCCTCACCCATAAAGTGGGAATAATAACGCCAACCTCACACAATCTTGATTGAAGTAGAGGACTTATTAGGCAATAATAAGTTTAGTGCAGTGTCTGACACAAAGTACTGTTTAAGTAAAAGCTTCAATAACGTCTTAGAGGTTTTGCCACAGTTTTGTGTTTCTTCGTATGGTCCAGAATTCCAAAATCCTTGATAAGTGGCCCAAATCTATTCACCCTCAAAACCTGGAATGCTCTAACAGGATGTTCTTTATCGTCCTTATAGGTTTCTTGTAAGTTTGTGCAGAGTCCTTTGGCTTCAAACTTGACCTGGACCGACATACTGCTATTTATAGTCTTTATTTATAGTATTTATAAGGACTATATGAATATTTATATATATATATTGCTACAGAAAGATCAAGTGTTTGGTTACAGATGCTGTTCCAGACCCTACAGTGAGTTGTATGGAATGTACTATCTATGTACCATGTTAATTTTCTAACATGTGGATAATTCTGAACCCTAAAACATATTTGGTCCCACAGGTTTCCGATACAGAATTAAGGCCTGCACATCATTTCATTTCATTTAATCACTGCAACTATCACGTTTTATTATCTCCCACTTTACACTGTTTTATGAATGAATAAACCAAGGCTTAGAAACGTCAACTATATCTTCACGGTCATACTAGCAAAAGGAAGGAGAGGTGGGATTTAAATCCAGATTTGTCTGGCTCTAAAGCCTACAAATGTACTTAAAAATAAGATAATCAAGGGGTACCTAGGTGGCTCAGTGTGTTAACCCTCTGCCTTTGGCTCAGGTCATGATCTCAGGGTCCTGGGATCGAGCCCCACATCAGGCTCTCTGCTCAGCAGGGAGCCTGCCCCCCCCACTTGTAATCTCTCTCTGTCAAATAAATAAATAAATAAAATCTTTAAAAAAAGATAGTCAGATTGAGTTACCACCATCACCCATCCCTTTTTTCCCCCTGTTAGAAGATTAACACTGATGCATGAAAGTACATTGATTATCAAAAAATACAGATACCATATAGACAAGAGTAGCACTAAGGGGTATAGTCTTAATGAACTCTCTTTAAGCAACTCTACCTCCTGTAAATTCTCCTTAAATGGGACCCTTTCACGAAGGTAGGGTAATAAGTTGACATGATGACTGTTAAGACAGAAATGAAAAGCCACAGGTGGAACAGTCTAGATGCAGGATTGCGGGTGTAGAGACGGTCATCAGAGGGTCATGACTTCATATGCACATTCCTCCCTGGTAGAACATGGCTCCACAGGATTCGGAGTTGGGATATTTTTTTCAAAGATCTTATTTATTTATTTGACAGAGAGAGAGAGATCACAAGTAGGCTGAGAGGCAGGCAGAGAGAGAGGGGGAAGCAGGCTCCCTGCTGAGCAGAGAGCCTAATGTGGGGCTTGATCCCAGGACCTGAGATCATGACCTGAGCTGAAGGCAGAGGGTTAACCCACTGAGCCACCCAGGCACCCCTGGAGTTGGAGTTTTTTCCCCCTTCACTCTAAATGGGATTCTTTAATGTTCTAGAAAGTCATTCTAAATTAGTCAAGCCTCACTGTGAAAAGTCGATTATGAGGAAACAATTTTCCCTTATTTCCCACTTTATTAAGGGTGTAGACAACATCCCCTTTTAGGTATAAACATAAAAGCATACATGTTGGGGCTCCTGGGTGGCTCAGTGGGTTAAAGCTTCTGCCTTCGGCTCAGATCATGATCCCAGGATCCTGGGATCGAGCCCCGCATCAGGCTCTCTGCTCAGGGGGAAGCCTGCTCCATCCCCTCTCTCTGCCTGCCTCTCTGCCCACTCGTGATCTCTCTCTCTGTCAAATAAAAAAAAAAAAAAGGCATACGTGTTCACATGTTCCCTGTAATTGAGCTGATAATTAAACTGTGGAGGCCAAGAAAAACAAGGCTGTACCCACCTTGAGTCTAGCCCTGACAGAAATGCAGCCATCTTGATGTTCCAGATTATCACAAAATATTTCTTGGGTTCTGACCTATACAGATTAGCACTTTAAAAAGTCCCTCTCTCTTCAACAAGTGGTGCTGGGAAAATTGGACAGCCACATGCGAAAAATGAAATTGGACTATTTCCTTACACCACAAACAAAAATAGACTCAAAATGGATGAAGGACCTCAATGTGAGACAGGAATCCATCAAAATCCTTG